CTTAATTTATTCAAACAAAAAAGTTAGATTTTTGATTTTAATGATAATAGGAACCACCCTAGAACTCATTGTCATAAAAATGAAGGCCTAGCTATAAGGAACAACTTTGTAGAAGAGACTTTTAGTCTAAAGTTTCAATTTCAGGCTCAAAACATATCATTCCACCTAAATCTGCATTCTGGACCACTGTGCAATGGTAAGGGAGCAGATGAGTTTGCTGGTCGAAAGATCATATAAGATTACCTTTGTATGGGTCCCCTCACATTGCTCAATCCCAGGCAATGAGAAGGAAGACTCTCTCGCAAAGGTGAGCGCACAACAAGACGAGGTTTATGATAGAAGAATTTACCATGATGATTTTTTCCCATTAGTACGTCAGAGTTCTCTTCTAAGTTGGCAAAAGGATTGGACAAGTAATTCTCTTGGGCGGTGGATACATTCCATTACTCCAAATATTTCTTCGAGAGCGTGGTTCAAAGGTCTGGTTGTAAGTCTTAGATTCATTCGTGTGATGTCAAGACTTATGTCCAACCACTACTCACTAGACGCACATCTCTACAGAATAAATCTCGATGACAGCAATATATGTAGGTGCAGAACCGGTTATGATGACATCGATCACGCAGTTTGGCATTGCCCGGGTAATAACGCCTCCAGAGCACGACTATTGGATACCCTAGTGGCTCGAGGAAGACAACCCTTCCGTGAAGTAAGAGATGTATTGGAATCCCGAGATCTTTCCTACATGCAGGCGATCTACGAAATCCTTTGTTTGTCTGATGTTAGAATTTGATGTGACCATCCCCTCCTTTAACTTTCAGCCATTTTGTCCCAGTCTTATTATCCACCGGTGTCTGTGCTACTTGCCCCTGCCCAGCCAAATTTCGCGCTTTTTTTCCAGAAATTCATTTGAAGTTCTCAGAACTTTCCTGAACTTTCCGAAACATTCCTGTAAATCATGGAACTAATTTGAAGTTGTTAGAACAGCCACAAAGTTCACGAAACTTCCCTTAAAACCTTTTAACTCAATTGATGTCACTTAAGACCTTAAAAGATAATGTAACTTTCCTGAATTTAATGGAACAGCTCTTGCAATTTTCTTGAAATTTATGAAAATGCCCTGAGACGCTTGGAACTTTCCCGTAGTTCTGGACGATTTTACGTTCTGAGAGTTATCCTGAAGTTACCAGAAGTTCCATGGAATTATCTAAATTATAATATATTCAAATATATGATTCCCGCAGCGGCACCGGTGGTGTAGTGGTAAGCGTGATTACCTCTCACCCCAGCAGGCCTGGGTTCAATCCCAGTCGGCGCCGCCGGGATGTTCTGAGGAGGCATAACATCTCTGATCACGGGAAGTAAAGCCGTTGGTCCCCGGTTCATGAGTTGATGGGTCGATAGGTAGGGTCAAGGTGTGGGAGCTGCCTTCCTGGCGTCGGTAGCATTGGTGCTCAACACGGAAAACAAGATCAACGGAAAACAAACCAAAGGAAAAAAAAATATGATTCCCGCAAAAAAAAATGATGGCTTAAGGTTTTTGATATCTTTCTCTAATAATTTTAGAAATATCTATAAGTTCTTCTGTCTGGGGTAGTAAGCTTCCCCTTAATGGAACTATCATAGAGTTTTCAGGTTTTAATTCTCCGAACTTCATTAAAGATTCCGTAGTCGTTCTGATGTTCTTGACGCTCCCAAACTATTTGAAGTTTTGTGGACATTGTTCTTGGAGCATGTGTCAAGTTCATGCAGTTTTTCTAATTCATCGGCCTGAACTTTTCTAAAAATTTATAAAATTTTAGGAAGTTCCCAAATGTTTCCTAATTTTTATGTTTATGGAACTGTCCTAAATTTCTCAAAACTTTCCGAAAAGCTTTCTAATCTTTTTTTAAATCTTAAATTTACCAGAAGATTTCTTGAAGTTCAAGTAAAATGCTTGAAATTGATGCAACTGTCATGAAGTTTTTTGAAGCTGATGCAACTGTCATGAAATTTTTGGTTAAGTTTATGAAGTTTCTGAAACACTCCGGACTTGCTTTTACAGATATTTAAACATTCCAAAGTGCGGTACTTTCATGTAAAACTCGTAAATTAACTGAAATTTTCGAAACTTATCTGAATATTTTGGATATTCCCTAAAATTCTTGGTACATCATAAGTGATATCGATATTTTAGCGCCCAGCTTCTTCTTCTTATTATTCTTCTTCTTCTTCTTCTTCGTCTTATTTTCTTCGCATTTCAAGCTTATTGCATATCGCATATTAGCTTATGGCGTGCTCTCAACTTAGTGTTCTAGATGCACTTCTACAGTTATTAATTGAGAGCTTTCGATGCCTGTACCATTTCTGCATTAGTATAATTGTGTGACAAGTACAATCATTCTCTATGCCAAGAGAAGTCGACAAATTTTCCAACCCGAAAAATTCCTAGACCGGACCGGGAATCGAACCTAGCCACCCACCCAGCATGGTCTTGCTTTGTAGTTGCGCCTTTACCGACTGAGCTAAGGGAACGCCCAGCTAGTATTGATTAAAAAAAAATCATATAAATTTACGGCGCCTTGGAGTAACCAAGAGTAACCACCAGTCCAGATATACAAGATATAACGCGTTTAACTGCAGCTTAGTTGGAAAATTACAGTTGAGCGTTTCGCTTACTGTTTAAATTTTTGATCCGCCGATTTGTTTTCACTTTCACTTCTGTTCTGTGCAGCTTGTTGGTTCACGACGTTTTTTAAATTATTTCCAAATCAATACCGGTATTTTCACATGCCAGTACCGGTACTTCACTACCAGAAAATCACCCGATATTATCGGTAAAACCGATACCGGTACTACCGGTACTACAACCCTAGTCCCAATCTGGGAGAGTAGCATGGATTGCCATCACTTTAAACTACAATGTGTCCAAAACAAGATCTTGACGAAGGTCCTCAACCTAGGGGCGTCTCACTTTTAGAATGCCCATTCAATTAATGAATTTAAGCAAAGGTAAAACTGGCCATAATTAGTTAAAAAAAAATCCGTTAAAACATCGAGGAAGTCCCGCTGGTAGCATTAAAATTACCGAAACAACGCGGAACCTCGTCCGCCAAGAACGTAAAAAAATACCGTCGATATTCCCTGGATCTTCTTTCAGCAGCATCCAATCTCTTCACTGAATCTCCTTCGCCGACAATGCGGGGAAAATCCGTCAAAAGTCCCTGGGAACCTCCGTTGGCATCTGAATTTTCCAGGGGAGTTTTGACGGAATTTTCACCTGTTCACGGCGGAGAGAGTTCCGGTAAATTTCAGTGGAGATTTGCTGCCATCGAAGGTTCCAGTGAGTTTCAACGGAGTTTTCTCGCGTTTTCGGTGGAGGAGGTTCTGTACGATTCCGGTGGAGATTTCTGATGGTCGAGGAGCTTCTGAAATAATTTTCTCGAGTCTTCTTCTTCTTCTTCTTCTTCTTCTTATTTCCTTTATTTAACGTCGGTCTCTGTTCCGCAATCTAGTGCCAATCACCGACGGACTTCGATTGTCATCCATTGACGGCAATCAAATGTGCAGGAAGGCAGCTTCCACACCTTCGTAGGATATCGCACCCATTCAAACACGCATGGGCTGGGACCAACGGCTTTACTTCCCTTCCGAAGGAAGACGTGACCAGATAATTGTTTGCCTCTGAAAAATCCCACAAACCTCGGCTGGGATTGAACCCAGACTCATTTGGGTGAGAAAGCAGTCACGTTTACCATTACCACTACACCACCGGCGCCGGCTTTTCTCGAGTCAGGAGTGTGGATTTGAGCAAACCGAGGCGAACTACAATACAGGAAAAAAAATTCCATGCATGGATGCATGTATTGAGATTGTCAGGTCCGGTTGTATTGGTGCTATATGTGAGAGCGTGTTAGTGAAATAAATCGCTGTCAAACTCATTTTGGCAAATCTAATTTTATACATAATTTAGGTTAACCAGAGGATAATAATAAACAGCTTTTCACGGTGATGCACCCGCTAGTGTGCGTGCGTTAAACGTCACTAATCTCTATTGATAAGAGCTATCACATAGAGCTGCACACAACATAAAATGCACTGAGAAAATGCATTTATTTTGTTGTTGTTACAATTAATACACCTAAAGTGATCTCCCCCTAGTTCTCATAAACAAACTGTCCTCTACGCACTTGAAACTGTGAGATCCATCGCCTAGCTGGTCTTCAGACGCTGGAGTTGCGGAGAACTGCTACCATCGAAAGGTTCAGAGATTGCGGTAGGCTATCCGATCACCAAATCATCAGGAATCTGATACGTTAGGTAAAGCTTTAGGTTAAGTAGATGGGCAAATTTTTTAAACTCAAACTCACCAAAACCTTAAAAGGGTATTCTGTTAATTAGCGCTAAACGCCATCGTCATACTAAATTAATCAATGAAACCGAACAAAGATGAAGAACCAAAGGCTAAAATAGTTTACTACAAAATCAATGTTAAAACATAATGAATCAACAAATAAATGTAAAGTTTACTAATACTATTATTTTTTTTAAAATGGTGTAGTATTCAGAATCCATTTCAAATTTAATACCATACAAATTTCTCACAACAAATCAAATTTAAATGATATCCATAAATGTAAATCCATCCACAAATCGCCAAGCTATAAGTGTTTAAAACCTTGCATAATTTCGTGACACTGCTTCGATGAAATGGTATCCAATACTTTCGACAAAGACGCTTTTCTACGTAAAAGAAAGACTAGCAACTCTTATGCCTTAAAAAGCAGTATCTAAGACACCTAAATATACTGTCATGTCTCAACCCTCCCGTCATAGACGCAAATGAAGACGCTTCGCTCAACGAACCCACCAAAATCCGACACTAATGAACTGAAATCAATAACAAATCCCGTCATCCTCATTCGCAATACCTACCCATCTCCAGCACTTCAAAAACAATCCCCAGCTGTACATATATATATAAGTATGCATGTCTAAAAAAAAGGAAAACCGCTACTCACCGGCACCAGAAAGCGTCGAACCTCGGCCAAGGCGTAGGCGATACGGGCGTGGGCCTCGGCCGGTGCTGTGTAGGTAGAGATTTCCACGTGCAGATCCTCGGATAGATGTGAGTACCGTGGGTCGCCACTGAGTCGCAGTTCCTCTTCCTGAATGAAACGAAAAAGAGCACGAAATAAATAACATGTTGCCTCCGCCCGCTCCCCCCCTCAGACCCCCAACCAACCAATCAGTGCAAAACAGACGAGATGGAATAAGCGGATGTGGCACACTAACTGGGCGGTCGGTCTTATCGGAATGTGTATAGATAGGTAGATACAAACCTTCTTACGATCCCGCATTGAACCCTTGCCAAGGACTGCCATTTTGCACATCGTTTCCTCCTGCAGCCGCTTCAGGGAGTTTCCCTTCGGGCCCAGTAGCTTGCCGACAAAGTTGAACTGGAAAGGGAAAAGAGGGTGGTGAAAATTCATTGGATGCGTTTGTTTTGCGGTGCGATTTCAGTCAGTGCAAAATGAGGTGGGGGGTTTTTGATGAAGGAGAAGCCAGCGTGGAAAGTGATATTAAAGTTGTTTTTCTGTTGCACGGTCGATCAGACCGACTCAAAATTGAGTCGAGTGGAGTGATTTTCAAAAGCCATCGAATATGAGGAAAACCCATGAAATTTGTACTCAGTCCAGGGGTAAACTATTAGACTGAGTAAACCCGCTATAGATTTTCCTCATATTCGAGAGTTAATCCACTGTCGACGAAATTGAGTCGACTCTACTCAATTTTGAGTTGATCTGATCGACCGCGTGGTCGAAAGAAACGAGTACACGAGAGCTCACGATGAGCTCAAGCTTTATTAAGAGCTTATTTTTTGCCGTATGCACAAGCCCGAGGGCAAACATCAGCAGAAGTTGAGCAAGTGGGTCGGTTGGTTATAAGATTCGTACGATGCGATGAGACGAAGCGAAGAAACGGACGATCCAAAGTGAGTGTGCTGTTGCTTTCGTGGCTGTTGGTGCTGAAGCTGCAAGGAACAACTCAATTACTGCCAGTCTTTATGAGATCTTGGAAATAAACGAGTGCAATTAATTCGAGACGACACGTGGAGGGGATGCGAAGGCTGCAAGCATATGTTTGTGGGAGCTTCAGCAACAGATAACACCCCCTTTCCCTCACATTGATGGGACTTAATATGTACGACGATGAGTTGCATGTTTCCACAATTACTCTCCATAGGGAAGAAACTTTCGGATTCGAAGAAGGGAACAATCATAAACATCATGACGATGATGACAGAGGGTACCGGGACACTTTATGGTGGACGGGATATGATGGAGAGCGAAGGATGAGCTTGCGGAAGCACTGATGACGGACAATGCCAGCAAATGCAGCTCGGAGTGGAATTACACGCAAGTGCTTTTGTTGAGGCATTAAAAGAATTTTCATTAAGCTTTATGAGATCCGTTTATTATTTCGTGACGAGGATGATTCGTGATCTTTTCTTTTAATTGAGAAAAGGCAGGCTTTATTAGCAATACTTTAATGCATTTAAGCGTTGTGTGGAAATAACTTATGTTTGATTTTTGTTTATTAACTATTTCAGGCAGTATCTCGGGCCTCCCTTAACTCAGTCGGCAAAGGCGTAGGAATTTAGGAATTTTTCGGATTGTTAAATTTCTCGACTTTCCACGGCAATAGAGTATGATTGTACTTCTCACACAATTATACTAATTCAAAAATGGAACAGGCATCGAAAGCTCTCAATTAATAACTGTGCAAATACATCTAGAACAGTAAGTTGAGAGCACACAATCAGCTAATATGCGATAAACAATAAGCTAGAAATGCTAAGAAGAAGGCAGTATCTCGCACCAGAACGAAGCCGTCGTGAAATTTACTGCACGTGATTGGAAGTGTGAAGCAGCAGCCGTTTTGGAAGCTGCAAAGAGGACTTTATTGGAACCAGGAACAAGTGGATGCTCATTTTCCTACTGGATGACAGTGGATGGGAAAATTGCAGGTAGTAGGACTAAACTGTGGCTGTTTCTTAATATATCAGGGCTGTGGAGTCGGATTTAAATAGACCGACTACGACTTCAATACATTTAAAATAACGGACTCTGACTTCACAATTTGACTTCTTTTTATACAAAATTCAATTGGAATTTACATATATGATATCGGTTATATTGAGTAAAATATTAATCCAATAATGGATCGAGAGTTTTCTGTGCTGCATTTAAGCAACAACATTTCACAAAAAATGCTTTGAGATACAGTAAAGTTTCGATTTAATCACGGTTATTCGTATTTTGCATGATTTATTTGAAACGTGATATATTTGAAATCCATCGAATTTAACATTGAAATAGCTGTCATTTTATGCCCAAAGTACGATTCAATGGTCAAATTTGTTTTTAAAACAGGTACATAATTACTGAATTAAATTTTTCATGGTAATTTCATAAACATTTTCATAAATCAAAGACATTTTATCAAGATAATTGGCAACCCTACCATCATTTGAGAGACAAGTAAAATAGTGCTACGCTTAAAACAAGTTGAAACCAGCGAATTGAAAAAAATGTTTCTTCGGAATTTTTTATTTTGAGGTTGGAAAGCCGAACCCGCTTGAGGCTGACATATTTTTAATAAAATAATCCAATCTAATATTTTGAGGCTAGTATCCAGGCATGGCAGATCATTTAAATTCATTTGGTTCTTACTTTTCCCAGCAACAGAATTCCGTGAAATGATATATCTAAATTTTGTGAAAAACTCAAATCTTTACCTCTTATGCATGACTAACCAGAGCGGACAGAACTTGTTATTATTTTTCATCGATAAAAATGTCCAATGACAAAAGTTGCACCTTATATTAAAACCTATAAAAGCTTCATTTTACAGAATTCTGCTGATGAAAAAAGTTAAGGGCAAAATAATTTAAATTAATTTATGAATTTAATATAAATGTATCTTTCTATCGAATTCGGAGGATCGAATTGTCATATTGATATTTTATCTCCATTTACAGACTGGAGTTACAGTTAAAGTGTAAACAACACCACGCTTCGCGTTTACTAAAGCTTTTATCGCTGATATCTAACGTCTCGGATCAGTTAATATTATCAAATCTCTTCGATTCGGCTGCAGATATATCTCGAGCATCGGGGAGAAATTTCAATGTACGGCTATCCCACCGAAAGTGAATTATTTTAGAATAAATCGGTCGTGAAAATCGGTTCCACTTGGAAAGCAAACCAAGTGTACGACGTATCGTGATCACGTGACCTACAGTGGTAGTGGTATGTCTGACAACTCGACCAGTCTCAAACGTCTAGTGTGTAGCACAACCATTTGGTGAGCTACAACCACAGAACACTCCTATCAGTGAGACTGTGTAAGAAAAGTGCTATCAATAGAGTGTTTTTTTTCGTAGTGGCGAGAGTATCTCTCGATACATGTGAAAAGAGCGACCACAACTAAACTCGATAGTTTGCCTCTGAACTGGAAAACAGATATCCATAGGGGTAGGTAACAGGTGACTGTTACCACTTATTGTTTTTCAAATCCTCGCCTAATCGTGATTAAGGTGGGGAACACAGGCACATTCAAATTAGGAGATGGCTGCCTCCAGTAGTGGAGGCAACTCGGGAAAGCACCCCAGGCCTCTTCTACACCCCTTCATGGACCCAAGGAACGAGTTTGGTCAACTAACCATCCTACAAATGACGAGAAAAGACGGGGAAATTTTATCAGAAAATCCCTTCATAATTGGCAACATCATCGAAGCAGCTGCTGGGGGTCCGATTGAATCGGCTACTAGCGAAGCAAAATGCTCACAGTACACTCTGCAAGTCAGAAACCCGGCACAAGTTGAGAAACTGCTAGCTCTGACTAAACTGGATGAAAGCCCGGCAATCTAAACAATTCATTAAGCCCAACGTTTTGAGTACGCAAAGGTTACTCAATCTTTCCAAAAAAGATTTAAGCACCTACACTGGATTAATAACAGGACATTGTCCTAGTAAATATCATTTTAAAAAAATTGGAAAGCTTAGCGACGATAGATGTCGCTTTTGTTATTTGGAGAGCGAAAGCTCTGAACATTTATTGTGTGATTGCACTGCTTTATTTAATAAACGATGCAGATTTCTTGATAAAGGACTCACCGTACCTGAAGAAATTTGGACCAGTATACCCAATAAAGTTGTAAACTTCATTCGAAGTGCAATTCCATATTGGGATAATGCCGATGATCAATGATGAAGATCACTCTACATAGTGGTTGATCATCAAAACACACGGCAAATAGTAAAAAGAGGATACACCACAATAGATCAAAACACTGGTCGCAGTGGTAAATGTCCACGACACGGAAAAAAAAAAACTGGATGAAAAGACATAAGTTTGTGTCACGTACCACGCCAAGCTGAAATCATGTAAGTGCGTTATATCATCCTACGACCTGATTCGCATGACGGAATCGGAAATCGAGTCGCATCTAGCTGATCAAGGAGTCTCACATGTCAAACGAATCTCCCGAAAAGTAAACGTTTTGAACGTCAACACTCCAGTTCTCATACTCACATTTGGGAAAACAACTTACCCCAAACACTTGAAAGTAGGAGTACTACGTGTGGCTACGCGACCCTTCTACCCAAATCCAATGCAATGCTACGGTTGCTTCGTATACAGACACACCCGTTCAAGATGCCCTGGACCCCAACGCTGCTACAATTGCAGCAATGAACACCAAGACGAAAACTGCGAAATGATTCCTCGTTGTATTAACTGCAACGGTGACCACAGATCTACCTTCAGGAAATGTTCAGTTTACCAAAAGGAATTCCAAGTTGTAAAAATCAAGGTTGATCATAACATTTCGTATCCTGAAGCACGAAAACGAGCAGGAGGTTCCAGTTACGCTCATACGCTCGCACAATCACGTCTTGAAAATGTAAAACTCGAGGCTCTACAGGAATCATTGAAACAAAAAGACGAAAAAATCGCAAAATTGGAAGCATTAATCGAATCAAATAAGAAAAAAGATGAACAAATTGCTCAGCTCATTGCAGGATTGAGACAAAAATCCGATGAAGTTGAAAAACTCACACAAAAAGTACACAACCTGAAGGCATACGTCTCCAATAACATCCTCAAACAACAGGCAAACAAACCGAATAGGGAAGGTGCGCTGTCATTTGACAGCTATAGCAAGTTTCGAAAAACGTAAACATAAAAAAGATTTTCAGAGGCAGTAATAAAAGTTAATTTTCAACAGTTTTCCTATATTGTGCATGCTGATTTCTGTAGTGCAAATATTTCCATTTTGTTTGGTAGGTCAGATTTTATACATAGATTCGTTTTCCTACGATAATAATATGGTCAAATCATAAAAAAAAAGATGGCCATGTTTTGTCGATGTTAAAATCGTCAAACATTGTTTGAGTTAATAATGAATGGAAAAGTGTTTTTATCATGCAGTGAGTGATGTGAAAATGTTAATAAATGTCTAAATTTATAAAAAAAATTTTGAGATGTAGAGTTTCTTTTGTTTAAACTTGAGTATCGTTTCTCCTATTTGCAGGAATTTTCAAAGGCGGTGTTTAAAATGCAGGAAAAAACAGTTGGTAATCCAAGAATAAAAATCGAATTAAGCTTCAATTATGTTCAATTTTAGACTCTGACTATGGACACAATCCGTGTAAACATCGATATTGTCGATTTATTCGAGTTTGCGAAGGAGAGCCGTAGACACTGGATCGAAGGAAATGAACTCTACAAGAATAACCATGTTATAATTGTCGGTGTAACAAAAATTGATGGACCGCACATCCATATTTTTTGTAGCTGCTTGAGAGGCTCGAATCCATCCGATCCACCGAGAGAAGTAAACATCACAACATCCCAGTTATTTCAGAACTGGTCGATGCATTGCTCGTGTCCAGCCGGAAATTTCCGGTGTAAGCACCAGTTCGCTTGTTTACTTTTCATCCATAAGTAATCAATATGACTTATACATGTTCATATCACATTTGTTAATAAAATGCATTTACAGCAAAAAGGATTTGGATGCCCTTTCCCCTACAGATGTACGTCAGCGGTGGGGGAAAATCGCTAAAAATCAAGCGGAGAATTTATACGAGCCCATTCCTCTGTCCAAGTTATGTGGACAACGTAAGAAGTCTAGCTCAGTATCATTGACGGACGAACTGACTGATGAACTCCTCAACGTTTTTGTTACTGGTATTACATTATGCCCGTCTATTATATAATAAAAACATTTGATAACTTCAATTTCTAGGGCTTCCTAATTCAGCACTGGCAAAATCTATTCGTGGACGAAATATTCATGTGCCAAGTAATCAGAAGCCCAAGCCAATGTCCACTAATGAGCAACCCAACTATACAGTAGTTTTTTCGGATGGTCCTCCCAGCATGCCATTATGGAACCCACCTCAGCGCATGCAGACTCAACCAACTCTAAGCACTACAGAAGAAACCAATATCAGCTCGTATCTTACTTCACTATTCGACGTAAATCATATTACAAGCAGATGGAAACACTATTTTGGTCCAATGAATGGTCCATGCCTATATACTTTCTATGAAAGTAAGGTTTGCTTGACTGCTGCAAAGAGCCTGTCTATTTGTCTTCAGACGTACAACCAATCGAATGATACCTGGCAACGTGAACGCCGTATACGCATTACAGCCAGCGGATGCTATGATCTATTCACTTTTTATAGGAATGATACTGGTGATAGAGACTGGGTTAAAAAGTTATCTCCTATCGTACACCCATTGGAAAAGCGTATTCCAGCATTACAGTACAGCAGAGACATGGAGCACAAGGCCCTGGAGTGCTATAGAAGAAGGAAAGCTAACAAAACAATAATTAGAATGGGACTGGTGATACCTCCTTCGGCCCCATTTATTGGATGTTCTCCAGATGCGTTTGTTTTGGATGACAAAAAGTTGGTAGAGATTAAGTGTCCTCTTGCCGGAAAAGAAAAATCAGCTAGCGATATTATCTCTCAGCTGAAATATATAGATACCTCCAAAAACGACCCACAACTGAAGAAAAAACATGCATACTATGGACAAATTCAGCTGTCAATGTGTATACTTGCTGCAAAATCAGCTGATCTAGTAATTTATAGTTCCTTTGAAAATGATATTTTCATAATCCAGGTGCCGTACGACAAAGAGTTTATCTCGGAACTTTTCGTAACGCTACGAGAAATTTATTTTAACATTTTCTTACCTGTTGTTTGTTCCAATTAAATGAGTAAGTGATTTTCAATACTTCTTTTATTTTGTTATCCATTGATTATTCTTGCGAAATAAACACATTTTAATTAATTGGTATTACTTCAAAACAATCGTTTTATTTACTAAATCTATCATCTGCCAACATTGGAGCCGACAAGTTTGTAACACCAGCTAGTATTATCATCACATCGTCCAGAATGTAAAGAATGGACAAATCTAGCTTGTCCGTGAGTATCCTGAAGTTTTTCAATCTTTGAATTGCTCTCTCGACATGAACACGTGCTCCTGCAATAGCTACATTCGTGGTTGCTTCTATATGGGACAACTGACTGTCAAACAACGTTGGAGGTCGCACCATTTCAAGATTATGTTCGGCCAGTTCTTTAGCTATTGAAAATCCCTTGTCCACCATTACCGCGTCGTTTTCTTCGAATAAGTTCACCATTCCACAAGCATTAAATATATGTTTGTCAGAAGCCTTGCCTACAAATCCTGGGCTGATATAGTTGAAGCAGCCACCAGGAGTTACTGAAACCAGGTATTTAGCGGTTTCTCGACCTTTATAGTGAGAATATGTTAGAACGCGACAATGAAGGCAATTTGATCTTTGTATAGGTATTTCAGTACAATCTAGTACCGCACGGACGTTCCCGTACTTAGAAAAATGATATGGTAAATCGTCTTGAATAATTGTTTTAGAAAGCCATGGAACTGCAACGCGCAACATATCAGCAATAATGGGAACACTCTCGTGAAAATATTTTGAGGCCGTTCTGGGCATTACGTTGAAAAGCGATGCAATACACCGGAATGACAAGTTGGATTTTAGCTTAATAAAAACTAGCAAAATCAAATTTCTCATTGACACGTCCCACCGCGAGAATAGCCTTGATTCTGGTACTATTTGAATAGCCTTGACCAATGTATCCAATAACTTGAAGCTGCATAAACCGGTCCATGAAACCAATTGTTCTTCAGAGCTTATTTCAAATACTTTTCGTTTCTTTCGCTCAAGAAGTTGCTCTAATTCAAGAGTATTAACTTGAATTACAGCATCGTGAAATGAGACGATAGGATCAGGACTGGTTAGCTCAAGATCGTCAAACATACCACGATCATCCATTTGAGTCACATCTTGATTTTTGCGAGTTTCTTCTCTCATCCGTGCTCGGTTTTCACGATCTCGATTCAGTTGGCCTGACTTTTTCTTTAACTCCACGTTCTTAGGGATTGCACCGTCCCTTAAAATAAACTTGGTTTGGTCAGAAGATTCTAAAACATATAATTTCTCAGTTAAAATTCCTTTAGATTAATCGTAAAACTTACTGATAGGATAGAAATCGAGTTTATCGAAGTGGCGGCTGCAAACACGGGAAGAAGGTGTCGGATGATATTTTATTCTTAGGGCTTTGACCCACTTCCGCCAACGATAAGAGTCTTTGTCTTTCTTGGGAAATCTGTGAAATGATATACCATCTTCCCGTTTTAATAAGCAAGAAGGTACCACGCATCGCAGATACGCTTTACGTTCAAACTTCTTGGAATTCATGTCCATTTCACCTGAAATATATTGATGAAAAACGGGAATGTTTCTAAATGAATCGCAACCAAACCGTTAATATACGATAAATGCATGCATAGTTAATTAATTTTTATTGATGCGATCAAGTCGACAATGAAATTTTCATTAATAAAACTTGAAGACAAGAGAAGATAAAATTGAGGCAGCGAAAAACACCTCGAAGAAAACTTACTTTTACTCCGTATAAATCCATTGAATAATTGAACAGCTACTGTAAAAAGATAAACCACGCCAGAGTTTCACGATTTATTGATAACAATAAGTACTTTTCTTTGATTTTCACTTGAAAACAATAAAAGAAAACTGTTGTCTTCGTGCAATTATTTGTTTACGTTTTTCTCATTCTTCGTGAAACTCAAGTAGGTGTCGCCACCGTACAGCAACATTGCCGTATGAGCAATTGGAACAGAAACAACAACGTTCGAACGCAGATCATAACGAACGGAACAATAACAGAGATACTGGCACGAAACGCAAGAACAAAAAAGGACGAGATGAAAACAACGCAAGACACCAAAGCAATTCTATGGATAGTAAAAGCCCTCCTCCAAAAAAGCCATCCACCGAAGCAAACCCGAATGAAACTGACGCAATGGACCTTGATGATATCTTTCGGATATCGGACAACGAATAGGCAAACCCTAGTCATGTAACCCCATACAAGCTTACTATGAGTTACTCACCAACATACAACAATAATACAAACGTACCGCTCACCGCAATCATCATCAAACCACTCAACACCAATACAGGCAAAATTAGGTTTGAAGGAGAGGAAAGTGCAGTACTCCCTTCATTTCCACAAATGGGAGCGCGGCTGGTGGGAAGAACTGTCCGGGACGCTATACCCCAACCCGTTGACGGCGAATCTTCCATCGCGGCCTATGATCACGGAACAAGAAACGACGAATCATCTTTCAAGCACAAACCGACACCCTCTTCAAGTTTTTCCCTCATGTCCACCACAAATCAAACTCCCGGATTCATTCATCAACATTCCAGCGATATACAGAAAAAGGAGATCTCTGGTCCTTACTGCTGTACAAAAAAAAAAAACGAACCATGACCAGTCTTGTAAGCGGTCACGGTAGTCGACACATTTTCTGTGATAATTGACTGCCTTTGCCTCCGACACTTGCAAAACAAGCTATCATAGTACAGTCCCAAACTAAAATGTCGTATGACGGGCTCTGTCATACGACACCGTCGCCGAAGACCATCACGAATGTATGTATTTTAGTTTTTCTCATAATAAGAGCTGCTGATGGTGTGCTTGTGTGAATTCTGAAAATAGCAAGCAATGATGTCCTAGTAATAATATTTCTGATCAGAAATGGTTTGATTTACACCAAATTGAGGAATTACAACGAAATCACACATGTCATATGATAGCTATTTTGATAATTTTCTTTTGGCTCGAATGTTATTTTACCGCTCGTGTTGTGTGAGAGAGACGACGGTAGAGCATGAGTGTTCGAATACAAACAGACTGTCGCGCACGACAACGAAGCGAGTGTAGTAAAAAACGTCAACTGTTTCAACCCCTGACCATGACCACCAAGATGACGACACATCGACGACTTTTCAAACCAACAACGGAAAGGGGTCCGTAAACCCCAAGCCCTTCCCTGCGCTGACTCTGACCAGAGATGTTCCACGTGTTCGTGATGATCCTCTGGTGGCAGTCAGTGCGGGGGCCTGCTCTCACAGGCAAGTAGACATAATATCTCCATACAAAGCACAATACCTCCCACCACACTTATTCCTTCAGCAACTATCAACAACAACGATAAAGGCAACGCTCTACCCAACAGTTCTACGACCGAAGAAGCAGCAAAACAAGCTCGTGATAGCAATCGCGAATCACGCGAAACACAGAAAGAGAGGTGTAAGGAGACACCCATCATCTGGTGCCGAACCGTAAAAACGAATCCACCAAATGCTCACCGAAACGACGACCCAACGACCGTTCAACAAAACAACAACGGAAAGGGCTTCGTAAACCCCATGCCCTTTCCTGCCCTGACCCTGCCCAGTGACGTTCCACATATTCGTGACGATCCTTTGGTGGCAGTCAGTGCGGGGGGCCTGTTTCCACAGGCAAGTAGACATAACGTTCCACCCCAAAGCATTTAATTCTAATTTTTCATATATTTTTTTCTCCTTATTAATTATTCCATTGTATCGATATCCCCTGGTTTTATTAAAAATCTGATTCACACTCCTAAATTCATTTTGATGTACTTATATGCAGAACATGTTGTATCGTATCATAAAAAATAACACTGAACTAGTACTGATCCATCTAGCTGATAATCTCAAAAATAAGTTTCGCAATAATTTCCGGAATCCATACCCTAGGTGGGTAGGGTAAACGCTCATACGGTGCTGTTACGCTACCAAAGTACGTTGCTATAGTAGTTTTCGGAGACGTCTAAGTCACAATAGGAACACAATGTGCTTTTCCCGTATGCACAATCATTGTTCGAAAAGTGATGGGTCCGCGGCTTGGACAGGATGTCATGTTCAAACAGCGGTACCAATGGAGAAGGTCTGACGTACAAGCACTTTTCTTCGGTGGCAGCTTGATTTGGATGTTGTTGACGCATTGTTTGCACTTGGTTGATAAGATTTGTTCACTGAGTGCAAAAAAGGAAGACACTTACATGGGTTTGAATCGATTCGTCTATTCTGAAAATATTTTTAAGGACATCTTGGGTGAAGCATCGTATTCCGTCCTCATTTTTGGCCACGGTTGGATAGAGCTTTCTTTTGAGTTTGGAATTTGAAAATGTTGCCCTCAGTTGTACCCATCTGGAAATTTATTTCAAAAATGAAAAACGGTATTAAATAAGGAACTAGTGTGGGTAATACGAATGCAACCTACAACCAAAAGTCAATAGGCGAAACAAAGTTTTTCGGTCCATCAGGCCAGATCCTAGAAAATGCTTGTCCGTAGTTGACCGCAAGTACCCGCCTTGGAACTGAGCATGAAGATACACTACGTCGACGCGTTTTTTTTTAATTCGTTCACGACCTTTCACGTCATTGATCCGTGCAGTCGAACGTACACGTATCCGCACCGCGCTTCCGCACCGACGCTTCCGAGAGTGCAGTCAGACTAGCTATCACCTGGGTCTTATGCAGCATACTACGGCATTTCACACTAATGCAGCAGGTAAGCAAGGAACTTGTTCGCCGGATCATACAACAATTGACCTGTGCAGTCAGCTCCTGAAGAAGTTACCAGTTCAGATTGGCATATTGGCCGCGAAGAATCGAGGTTTCAATTTGACGACGTAATTCCTAAAAAAAATACGGTTGTCAAACATTGTCGTACACTTTATTCCTTCTTCATCTGTTGATAGAGGTACTTACATTAATATTTCTGAGCATTCTAGCTCTAGAATTCACGAAATATAACTGTAAATAGTACTTCATACAAGACAATGTCTTTTGACTTTCAAAATAATCTATCCCGTGTGTTTTGACATGAGCTTTTTACGATGGCAATTCTAATAAGAAGCGAAAATAAAATAACTTTTTCACTTACGTCTGTTATTCCAATGAGCAGTTCGGAACGTTCATTAGACAGAGATAAAACATAGACATTTGTTCGAGCTTCACGTACGAGCCAAAAATTCATTTATGATTTGACAGCAGTGAACTGCTAGATGAACATGGGGTCGTAGTCATCGGCATACACGAACTATAACACTGACATAAATTGGATGCGCGAACGTCATCAAAAGCGTCAACAGTTTTCAAGACTAGTTGCAGCTTTGGGAGAATGGCGGATATGGTGGCGTTCATCAACCACATACGGCTCAGTAGGCTTGGTCGAGTCGAGACGGGACCCTCCTTGGCAATTAAGGCCAATGAGGGAATCGTCCCTGACGGACGATCGAGGATCATGAACTATTATGTCCTGAACGGAGGCAGTCCAACATCCCAGAAACCCCACAAAGGGGGGGGGGGGGGTGTTACACTAAATGACACTGCACTTTACGATACCGGACTACACGGAGGTCTGATTACTTCTGCCTAATCTTCCAAATCTAAGATGACTAGGGTTACGAATGTAATGTGGGTCTACACGGAGGACAAATTCGTTAAGTTAAGATAACAATCCTAATAGTTACTTTCACATGGAAAAATATAGTTGTATGAAAGGAACCTATAGTTATTCCAACATTAATGTGACCGTCAACTCAATCATATCTACCTAATAGATTCAACTGTTCATCTTATACTCAATTCAACTATAACTTCACACTTAGAAAAAATCATGTAAATTTAGGTGCCCTGAGAGTGACATATACGAGCGTCATTTTTGACATACATTTGAGTCTTAACAGACGCGAAATATAGCTCAATCAAATGTACTTTTCGTCGAGCAACGAACTTTTCAGTCTCGGAGCACTTAATATTACATGACATGTTTGTTTACGTCTCATCTTTTATGTCAAAGATGGATTCCATCACGTGTAAAATTAGTTATTTCTAAGTGTGTTTGATGAATTATAACAACCGTCAAATGTTATTTATTTATATAATTTGGTTTCAAGTGATCATCATAAATCCACATACTTTTAACTTGTGCACACTACGAAAATGTCATGTAAATTTCGGTTCCCTGAGACCGACACATGTAAGCGGCCCTTTTGACATAAGAATCAGTTGAAAGAAACGAGAAAATAAATGCAATGAAACGTTATCTTCGTCGATTTGCTTATGTTTCGGTTTGAGAACACTTAATTTTACATGAAATGTTTGTTTACGTTCCACGATTTACGTCCAATATGGATTACGTCTCGTGTAAAATTAATTATTTCTAAGTGTGTGATGCGTAGAGCAGGCGATAAGATAGCTGGCTCTCACGCAGATGAACACGGTTCAAATCTAAGTTGAATGTTCTTGTTCACTTTTTTATGATTTTGCAGTTGTGTTTTTGAGATCGATAAATTTGCAAACTTCCTTAATATGTCGAAAATGAAGAGCAGTTCGTTTAATAAACATTGTAAAATTTTGCTTTCCTAACAATAGTTTTCTTGAATCAACTAAAGCATAGTTGTATTTTGAATTTTGACGTTTGTTCATCTGCTGAAAAATATAGTTGAGCCAACCGAGGAGCCAACTATGGACTATAGTTGTTGCCCTCTATATATAGTCAAATCAACTATAGTTTCAGGTTATCTCTAAAACAATTGAACAATATAGTTATTTTGACCGGAAAAATAATTGCGTCTGCTATAATTTGTTCTCCGTGTTGTCATTTCATTCGGCCTATCACGCAAATAAATAATTAATTAAGCAATAGTACACAAAAAATAAAGAAAATATTGATCACTGATGATTGATAAATGTGTACCACAAACAAATCAATTAAGGGGAAA